CCAATATCTCAGGGGTTGCCCCAAAGAAGAGGGAGTCAAGCTCTTCTCCAAAACACCTGAAGGCAGGACAAGAAGCAACGAATGGAAACTAAACAAGGAGAGAAGCAAACAAGAACTAAGGAGAAATTTCCTGACAGTGAGAACAATAAACCACTGGAGCACCCACAACAAAGTGCAACTTGGAGGCAGTTTTGGTCACCACATTACAAAAAAGATGTTGAGACTTTGGGGGAAAAAGTGCAAAGAAGAGCAATTAAGATGATTAAAGTCCTGGAGACCAAAACATATGAAGAACAGTTGCAGGTTTTAGGTTTGGCCAGTCTAGAGAAAAGAAGGAATGGGGGTGGGACATGATAGCAGTATTCCACTATTTAAGAGGCTACCACAAAGAACAGGGGGGGGGTCAATTTAATTTCCAAAGCACCAGAGAGCAGAACAAGAAATGGTGGATGGAAATTATGGAGAGAAGCAATCTGGAATTAAGGAGAAAATTCCTGAGAGCAATTAACCAGTGGAACAATTTGCCTTCAGAAGTTGTGGGTGCTCCATCGCTGGAGGCATCTAAGAAGAGACTGGACAGCCACTTGTCTAGAAGGCTTGAGCAGGGGGTTGAGCTAGAAGACCTCCAAGGTCCCTTCAAAATCTGTTCTTCTGTTTCTGCCATTTCTGGGACCGTCCAGAAGTTGGATGTCACCATATTCCATTTTTCATGCTGAGTTCTGGAAGCACAAAATATAATTTTTTGCCTTTTCTGGACTGGCCAAGGACATGAAAGTGTATATTTTAAAAAAGGCTAGGTGATATGAATTCTTTTACTTTAAATAATAAAATGTAAACATTCAAACTGAAGAAAAAACATAACGTATAGAGCTGCTCAAATTATGACAAACTGGGGCAGCCTCTAAACAGAACAAAAAACTGTTGTTCAACAAATGTTATTGTATTGTTCACCAAGATTGTGTTGGTGACGTTTTTGTTTTGTAAGCTGCTGAGAGTCGCAAGGTGGCAAAGGGCTGCTTTGGAGTGGAAAAGCTGAGGATGAATTCAGCTGCCTTCATGCTGGGCTGGGGAGAGAAGGAGGCAGCATGAGGGGGACACGTCCCCTAAGGGTGGTTAGCAAGGAGCCTTCGTGCTTCCCTTAGAGGGACAGGAAGAGGAACCCATAGAAGTTTTTAATTTTGAGAATTTCAGCTTTTGCTATTTTAGGTCTCTTCCCCTAATTGGGATATTGGGGTTCTCCTTCAATTATCTGCTTTTTCTCCCAATTCAGAATCAAAATCCAGCCTGGGGATCATCATCGGCTGCGTTGTGGCTGGCCTTGTCCTGCTGGGTGTGATTGTTGTTGGGATCTATGTATTCTTCAGTAAGTCTCCTTTTCTGGGTGATGGAAGGAAGATGGGGAGGTTCCTCCCAAGTCTCTCCCTTTGGGGAGCTTCTTCAGGGCTTCCTCCTGTCCTGCTTTCCCAGCCCTTGGGGAGCCTCTGAGATCTCGGCCTCTTGCTGGGACTCCAGTCTTGACTTGGCTGAGTCTGAGGTTGGGACAGTCCCGCCTTCTTCTGAGTTGGGAAGAGGCATCCCAGTTCCATCCCTTTCAAAGTCTTTGGTCAAAGAGCAGCAGAGAAGGATTTCCATGAAAATCTTCCTCCCCTCCCAGCTGCTGCTGCTTCCCCCCTGTCCCTCCCTCCATCTCAGAGGCAGCAGGTCTCCCTTGGGGCAAATCTGGAGATATATTCGGTTTTTGAAAATCTTTCTGTCTTTATTAATGAGACAAAGTGACTATAAAATACCTCCTGGGGTTCTTCCTCTTAAGAAGAGTTTGTATGATCTCTGGTGGATTCTTTCGAGCTTTCACTGATTTTTGTCTTTGCAGAGAGATGCCATGGCTACAAAAAAGCACCAAGTGAGTGAATTGTCCTCTTTACATACAGTATAATCTCCAACTTAGAGCAGAGGCACCATTAGTTGAGGGTGTGTGTGTGTGTGTGTGTGTGTGTGTGTGTGTGTGTGTGTGTGTGAGATGTGCATGCTCTCTTCCTCCTAAGAACCAGTCTGGGGAAGGTGGGCCCCGTTTTCATCCCAGCTAGGCTGTTCTTGGAAGTGGGGTCCCCAAGGAGAAACATCTGGGACAAGGAACCCTCAAGAAGGGGAGAAGGCCCAGCTGGTGGAAGGTCCCTCTGGCTGAGAAGCTGCTCTGTTTCCCAAGTGGGCGGAAAGGAAAGGTTCGGTGAAATGAGAGTCAGAAGCTCCATAAAATTTGGGATCGAAAGGGGGCATTTTGAGAGACAAGGAGCTTTGGGGGAATGCCAACTGGATCTCCTCTTGGTCTCCCATCACAAGGCTCTCTGAGTACGAACTGGTTAGAAAAAGAGACTTTGGAGCCGTGTGTATCTTTTAAGGTCAGCTCTGCCCTCAAGCTCAAGAACTGCTGAACAATTACTCTGCGTTGATACACATATAAATTTTAGGAATTCTTTCCTGTGCCTTTTAGCCCAAACTGTCTGGTTCAAACTCTCTCCATGTATTTGTGTGTCTTGGATTGTGTGTGTGTGCGAGAGAGGGAGAGAGCTGGAGTCAGAAAGAGCTGAGTTTCTCCACCTATCAGGCCAACAGAGTGAACTTCCTCACTCTCTTTTTCTTTCTCTCTTTTCCAGCAAGTGAGAAAGGATCCGACATCCAGGGTGAGTTGGAGGGAGCTGCTGCTGCTTCAGCCATTCTGTCCCTTTGCCAGACTTTGGACGGGGGGGGGGGAGAGGAAAAGTTTCTACAAGCCCCCCCCCCTCCTCCCCCCATTAATTCATCCTCCCTGTGTTCCCTCTGGGTCTGGTTCTGCTGAAATAATTAAAATAGAGTCAGTTTCATTAACTGGTGAGGGCACCAAGTGAGACTTACTGGGAGACGGTGAGTTCTAGTCCCACCTGTAAGGTTTTCCAGCTCAGATGACAAATAAATCCCAATGAGACTCTGAACAGGAGGCCTCTGAACACAGCTTTATTTTCTTTGATGAAAGAATATATGCTGGGCACTCCACTCTCCTTTAGACAGCAGAGGAGATGGAGAGCAGAGAGCAAGTCAAGTTTCTGCTTTTTATAAACCAACAAACATCACAAGGTTTCTGCGCATTTAAAAAGTTCCTTTGAATCTCCTTATCTATCCTGGCCTTACATTTCTGCCTATCTAATCTTGAACACACCATAGCATAAGAGAGAGCTGTCATATTTTAAAGCCACAGCAGAGAATCGAGAAGGGAAAGATTTACCATCCGAGGAGAGAGGATAGTGATGGCAATTTCTTAGCTAGGCTGTCCCTTGAAACAACACCCTTTAAAGCAGTGTTTCTCAACCTTGACAATTTTAAGGCACGTGGACTTCAACTCCCAGAATTCCACAGCCAGCATTGCTGGCTGTGGAATTCTGGGAGTTGAAGTCCACGTGCCTTAAAATTGTCCATGTTGAGAAACACTGCTTTAAAGTAACGGAAACATTTTCTTTGGTCAGCACAATTTGGAATGCAATGGAGCACAGACAGAAAGCAAGCAAAAATAAATGGACAATAGCTGCTATACCTGAGAGATTGATTATGCGTAAAAGACTATATTTTGAAAGATTATACTTGGCTGGATCTCTACACACCTTCGGCATGAAAGCCGGCTGGGGGTTTTTTTACAAAATCCACTTTCCTTGCCTTGCTTTGTTCCTGAGGTGGAGAAGAGAAGCTCTCCCTGTGGGATTCAGGCAGGGGAGGCAGCCCAGAGTCTGCCTGGTGAAGCCTGGCCCCCTTTGGAGGAGAGAGAGCCCTCAATTCCTTGGTGGGAAATGGGGGAATCACCGGCGATCCCATGATCCCCAGTGGTTAGAGACTCTCCTGCTGGCATAGCTGAGACCTGGCTGATTCTGGAAGTGGAGGGGGTGTTCCTCCTCTCATAGATTGGGGTTTAGGCTTCGGCCCCAACTGAGACCCCGGGGCAGGGCAGGTGGGGGGGGCAGTGGTCCTCTGAGAATCCCTCTGGGCCCTCGGGGGCCTTGATCCCCACGTTTCTGGTTGTGACTCCCCGTTTCTGAATCTGGGCTTACGGGATCAGTTGGGCTTGTGGCTGCTGTACCAGCCTCCCTGCTACCTGGGCACCCCCCCCTCCCTCAGCCGCTGGGGGCCATCTTAGTGTTGGCAGGGAGTTCCTCAGGCTTTTGGTCCTGGGAGACTTCAATCTGCCCTCCCCTCAGAAGAGGCCCAGGAGTTCACGGCTGCCATGGGCCTCTCCCAGACCGTCTTGGGCCTGGCTCAGGACGGCGGTCACACACCGGATAGGATCTTCTTGTCGGAGCAACGGCAACGTGATCTGGTGGGGGGGAATCTGGTGTTTCTTGTTTTAAATATTCTACTTAGCTTTTTATTGAATTTTATTGTAAGCTGTCTAGAGTCCCCTTGACGAGATGGTGGCATAGAAGTTTAATATTTGATAGATAAATAGATGATAGGCAGACAGACAGATATGATGGATTGCCTGATCTTAGGCTCATCTTGGGCCTGGCTCAGGACAGCAGTCACACACCGGATAGGATCTTCTTGTCAGAGCAATGGCAACGTGATCTGGTGGGGGAATCTGGTCTTTCAATTTATTGTTTTAAATGTTCTACATGGCATTTTATTGAATTGTACTGGAAGCTGTCTAGAGTCACCTTGGAGAGAAATGGGTGACACAGAAGATTAATAATAATTGAATAAAAAGGCTGGTCTCCTCTGAGAGTTTGTTGAAACTGCAGAATGGTGAAGAGAGAGATCCTCAGAGGATCCAGACAAGGCAGAGACTCACTTTGTGTCTTTCTCTCCAATGCAGGGAAAACCCCGGTTTAGAAGCCCCCTGGCAGGTGAGTGGCCCTCATGGAGGCTGAATTGGGGGGGGGAGGGAGGGAGGTGAGGGCTTTGAGGTCCAAGGAAGATATTTTGGGGAAACTGTCTTCCCTCTTATATTCAACTCAAACACTGCAAGGGAAGGAATTTGGGGGAGAGGCATGAGGGCTCTGGGGAGGGGTCTGCCTGCCCCCCAACTCTTATCCTCTGGCATCTCTCAGGCTCCGACTGTCTGGATAGAACTAACCCTTGGATGCTTTTTCCATCCTCTTTGCAGCACGATGGACACTCCCAGCCTTAGGAGTGAGGAAAGAATTGAGGATCAACCTTCTTGTGGATTAGGCCCTTCCAGCATGTTGGGTCCAAGATATATTTGGTGTCTTTCATTTTTGCTTTTATTATAGAATCAGTAACCTTTTTTTACTATGATTGAGGAATGGAGGAAAAAAAATATATGTTACTAATTGTGGAATCAAAAGATTTTAAATGCTTGTGTAGATCATGGGTTTTAATAAGTATTTTGTATAACCCTTCATGGGCTTTTGCTAATTGATCTTAATGGATTGAGATTAGAGGTTAGAGATAAGGTTTCAGAGATGGGTTTATAGGGAATGGGGTGAGGGAGAGGATGAAGAGTTTCTTGGTTTTATTTTAAGAGAGATTTATAAGTTGTTAATTTTCATTATACTTTTTGGGGATAAAGGTGGGTATTTCTTTTTTTCCTTGTGTTAGTTTTATAAGTTTAAATGTTATCTTCTATGAAACTATTACTAAAAGAAGAAGCCTGCATCCTGAGATGTTTGTCACTAAAATCGTTCATGCATTTTAATTGATTATTGCACAGTTAATTGAACATATATTTGATCATTCAAAGTTTGACAGATAATCAGTATAACGAGTGAAACATTCAGACTCTGATTTTTTTTAATAGATTGTCATTTATGGATTTTCATGCTTTAGAAAAACAGAGCATGAGATCCATTGCACAGCCGGGCTGCTGGCTCCTTTAATAATTGCACTTAGATTATAAGTTTGTCAAAGTTGTTTGCTGAAAATAAATGGGTTTTTTCCCCTCTTACCTGAGTTGCTGCCTGTTTGAAGAGATTGGAAATAGGATTTTATTCTCGTTTTGCTCAGAAAAACCAATTTCACTTTGAGTGGGAGGAAGGGGAGGAACCAAGGCAAAACCTGGAAGGAGCAAGAAGTGAGGGGGGGGGCTCCTGTGTGCTCCTTGGGGAGGAGGCAGCCATTTTGCTTCTGGGTCCGGATCTTTCTCCAGCATCTCCAGCTGATCTTCCACAAAATGGCCGCTTGGTCTTGGCTTGGCAGCAACAGAGGCAGCTTTTCCCTCAGATCCACCTTTGCCTCAGGCTGAGGGCCGAGTGGCTGGTCTCTGGGCCTCATCCAGGGGCCCTTTGGGAGACGGGAGCTCAGGGATCGTCTGGAGCCCTCCTGGCCCCCTTGCAGGAGGGCAGCTTCTCCTGCCTGAGAGGTCCTCTCTGGGCTCTTCAGGGGCCCAGTCGGATGCCCCGGCCCAAGAGGGGGGAGAGCCTCGATTGATGGGAAAGACGTTCCCCATATTATAGTGGATGCTTTCTGGCGAGGAGGAGTGGAAAGGATGGGGTCTGTCATCCCCCTCCCTCTGGACTAGCCCTCTTTGAAAGCTTAAAAAGTAAACTTCAAAGCATTTTGCAAGAATTCAGTAGATATTTCAGCCTGTTCTACTGATTCAAAACTTTTAGAAATTTATTTCTTAATTAGAATATATGACCGCCCAGCTCACATAAGCAGCTCTGGCCAGCCAACACAGTAAAAATATCAACGCAAGAACAAAAGACAATAAATATAATGCACAAAAGAAAAATGTCCACCAAGGATAGACCAGTCAGCCGCAAATTCATTCAATTTAGCTTACAGGTAGTCCTCGACTTACAACAGTCCATTTAGTGACCGTAGTTACAACAAGATTGAAAAAAGTGATTTAGGACCATTTTTCACACTTGCGACCGCTGCAGCATTCCTGTGGTCATATGATGAAAATCTGGATGCTTGGCAACCGGTTCATATTTATGACGGTTGCAGTGTCCTGGAGTCACGTGATCACCTTCTGTGTCCTTTTGACAGGCAAAGTCAATGCAGAAGCCTGATTCACTTAACAACCGTGTGACTAACTTAGCAATTTCAATGATTCATTTAACAACCGTGGCAAGAAAAATCGTAAAATGGGGCAAAACCCACTTAACAAATGTTTCACTTAGCGACAAAAATGTTGGGCTTCATTCTGGACATAGGTCGAGGACAACCTGTAGTGGTTAAGGCACCAGGCTAGAAACCAGGAGGCAGTCAGTTCAAGTCCCGCCTCAGGCCCAAGAATCCGCTGTGTGATTTTGGGGCCAGTCATCCTATCCCCACAGGGTTGTTGTGGGGAAAATGGAGGACAAAGAAAGAGCATCTGGTGTGTCCACAGCCTTGAGTTCTTCATGGAAATGATAAAAGTGGGATATGAATGGACAAACTCTCGGCGTAACTCTCTCCCGATCTCAAGGACGTCTGAAAGAAAACAAGGACTTTACTAAAGGCCAGTGGGGTTCAGCCTGACTCTTCTCCAAAATAAAGAATGTCCCAGTGGTGGATAGTAGAGCCTTAGTCACCTCCTTTCTTGGTAACCTTAAGGACTGCGCTTCAAAAACCGGAAAATGATAAGCCAAAAACTAGAGGAAAAAAAAATAAATCAATTGAGTGAAAGCCTTCTTTGCCCTTTTCCTGGACAGGACTTAGGACCCTGGACCTTGCCCTGTGAGCATGCTCTGCGGACTTTTCTTTGTAATATATGGGCTGTTGTTTGGAGGACTGTAGGTGGCTACATTCAGGGTGGCGTGGGGGTGGAGCCTTACCGGTCATTGGAGGGCCATTTGTTGGAACCTTTCTTGAGAGCAATAAAGGACTCTCTAAAGCAGAGCTGTCAAACTCGCAACGTCACGCAACTTTTTTTCCATTGCCAGCAATGGGGTGGGCGCGGTTTTGGCATGACGGATCCGGCCCATGGGCCGGCTGTTTGACATCCCTGCTCTAGAGACCTGCTTTGCCTTGATGTTTGATAGAAAAGAGGTCTACCCTGCAGGGAGGTTGACAAAAGTTAAGGTTGCAGATCAATGGATAGGGAAATGGAGCCCCCATCACCACCGAATAAAAACAAGGCTTTTCAACCAGTGGTACGGATACTACCTGTGGTACATTGGCACCTGGCAGGTGGTACGCAACCATCCTAGAAAAGTGGGAGTGGTGGAGGGGAATGAACTGAAGCAGTGGCAGCACCGCACAAGCCTGAGCGAGAGATGGCTGGAGCTGCAAGGCTGTCAGCGCTCAGCAGAAGCGCCAGGATCAGCGCCAGGGTCCAGCTGGAGCTCAGCGCTGATCCTGGTGCTTCTGCTAAGCCCTGAAGAAGCACCAGTCAGCTGGAAAGCAGCACTGATCCTAGTGCTTCTGCTGAGCCCAGAAGCGCTGATCAGCTGCAATGTTGCAGCATCTCCAGGATCTTTTTATTTACATTCAGATGCTTGGCAACTGATTCAAATTTATGACGGTCACAGTGTCCCAGGGTCATGTGAAGTGACCAAAACTTGCTGCAACCACCCAGTAGATGGGGGGAATAAAAACCAAACACCCCCCCACCCCCACTGCCAATCCTCAACAGAAATGCTCACAACAATAAAAACTTTGGACAGAAGGAAGAGCGCAGCCGGGTGGGCAGGCAGTTGTCTTGCTCGGCTGTGGCTTGAGGGGGCACTTTTTTCAGTGTCATTGTAACTTTGAACAGTCACTAAGCGAACTGTTGTAAGTTTATTTATTTATTTATTTATTTATTTATGAGACTTATATATCGCTTTAAGTGCAAGCACTCTCTAAGCGGTGTACACCAGTAAGCAATGTATATTTACATTGCCCCCAACAATCTGGGTCCTCATTTTACCTACCCCGGAAGGATGGAAGGCTGAGTCAACCTTGAGCCGGTGAGATTTGAACCGCTGACCTGCTGAACACAGTCAGCTAAAGTGGCCTGCAATACTGCACTCTAACTGCTGCGCCACTTTTTTCCTTTTGGGGGGGGGGGTCGTCAAATTTTTGACCCCTTGCTAGGCGACTGGTGGTATTCGGATATTGCCATATCCTAAAAGTGGTACAGTGGGTGAAAAGGTTGAAAAGCCCTGCCATAAAAAAACATCCAGTTGAAACTGCTGAAGATCTCACAATCTTTGATGCATCTGCCACCAGCCTTTTTATATCTTTGGCTGTATGTTGTGTTGAAGAGTAGCCCGTGTCAGTCCCAATCAGTTGTTGTTGTTAATTGCGAAGTCGTGTCTGACCCATCGCGACCCCATGGACAACGTTCCTCCAGGTCTTCCTGTCCTCTACCATCTTCTGGAGTCCATTTAAGTTCACACCTACTGCTTCAGTGACTCCATCCAGCCATCTCATTCTCTGTCATCCTCTTCTTCTATTGCCCTCAATCTTTCCCAACATTAGGCCTTCTCCAGTGAGTCCTTCCTTAGGTGGCCAAAGTATTTGAGTTTCAACTTCAGGATCTGGCCTTCTAAAGAGCAGTCGGGGTTGATCTCTTCTAGGACTGACCGGTTTGAACGCCTTGCAGTCCAAGGACTCGCAGGAGTCTTCTCCAGCACCATAGTTCAAAGGCCTCAATTCTTTTGCGCTCAGCCTTTCTTATGGTCCAACTTTCACAGCCATACATTGCAACTGGGAAAACCATGGCTTGGACTATAAGCACTTTTGTTGGCAGGGTGATGTCTCTGCTTTTTAGTATGCTGCTAGATTTGCCATAGCTTTCCTCCCCAGAAGCAAGTGTCTTTTAATTTCTTGGCTGCAGTTCCCATCTGAGGTGATCTTGGAGCCCAGAAAAATAAAATCTGTCACTACCTCCATTTCTTCCCCAACTATTTGCCAGGAATTGAGAGGGCCGGATGCCATGATTTTGGTTTTCAGTGGTGGGATTCAAATATGTGAACAGCCGATTCTCTGCATGGATGCCACTTCTGGAAGTCTGTTCTGGGCCTGGGCAAGAAAAAAATTAGCTACCGGTTCTGCCGAACTAGTGCGAACCGGCTGAATCCCACCGCTGGTCCCAATCCATTTCATTTCTGGGTTTTCTGTAGAACCTTGTTCTTTGTGTTATTTTGATCTTTTTGAATATTTTTTAGGGAAATGTCCAAGTCACGTTATTTTGACTTGAAAGAATTTAGCAGGGATAGTTGCACTGGCCAATTGTTAAGAAACCCTCCTTCTTTAGTAGGTATTTTGCAGCTGATTTCTGTTTTAAAGTAGCTTTTGTCCCATTCATCAGTAACTTCATGCTTATATTATGGAGTACGCATTTCTAAATACTCCTTAATTAGATTTGTTCCTGTCATTTTTCTCCTGAGGAATAGTGTGGTTAATGATCCCAAAAGATGATCTTTTCATTTCATTTCGTTTTGTGGAATTAACACGCTGTAATAATCACCCTGAGGAATCATCACAGTAGGTCGTAATTAATGTGAGTTTGAATAAAGCAATATTTAGTATGAATTATCGATTGATACTCGATAATTTAATGTGCACCAAAATCTAGTCAGTGCACTCAAGATCCCGATGGAGCTTGACAGACTTGAACACTGGGCCCTACCTAACAAAATGAAATTCAGTATAGAGCAGTGGTTCTCAACCTGTGGGTCGGGACCCCATTTGGGGTCGAATGACCATTTCACGGGGGTCGCCAAACCATGCGGTCCACCATTTTGTTCCCTTTTCCCTAGCTGTCCTACTCCCTCTTATTGGTGGCCACACCCACTTGGGGGGTCACCACAACATGGGGAACTGTATTATGGGGTCACAGCATTAGAAAGGTTGAGAACCACTGGTATAGAGCAAAGGAAGGTTTTACACAGGCAAGAAAAAACAAATGTACAGGTACACAGATTAGGTGAAACTTGACTCAATAGTGGTAACTGTTGAGTCCTTGGCGGGAAGCAGACACGAGAAGCAGTTGAAGTTCTCAGTTTCCTTTATTCAGCATTCAGCTTACAA